CTGAACCGTTTAGCCAGTAGAAAGTGCAACGAGAAGCCTTCCTCCTGGAGTCTAACACAGAACGTACTTGGTAAATAGGGAATTGTGAAAATAGATCCTCCCGCTTAACATCATGAAATAATTTATTTTAAAAGTGCAAGTAATGGTATGACTACATAAAATTTTAAATGTATTTGTGTGTGTAAATTTAAAGATATATATATATATATAATTTAATAAAAAATACATTTAAGGAGTTATTTCCAGATAATTCAACAAGTAGAAGTAATATTCTTAAGCTATCCTGAAACTTCTACACATTAAGTTTGTGCTGTCAGACTCCATCCTAAGCACTTTGAAACATTATTTAGTAGTATGAGACAGGTTGGACAAGAGACAATGGAAAATAATACATTGATAAATGATGAATAGAAAGTAAGACAACTAGAAAATTAATGAATAAGTGAGTATATCAAAAATAAATCTTTGAGAGACCAGCAGTTGGCATAATGGCTGTGTCACTGGACACTCCTGTAGTCAACCGCAGTTCGAGTCCAGACCCAGTGGCTTAAACTCACACCAGCCACGTGTGCGTACGTGCCCAAGGTCCCAAAAGGAGACTAGAGGAGAAGGGATTGCAGCATGGTCGTCCGCCTTGGGGAGTGATTGCACACTTTCTGTATCTCTGTCTCTTTCTGTTTTTCTGGCAAATGCGCACGCACTATTGCAAAAACCTCTCAAAAAAAAAAAATCTTTGAAAATGTTAAAGGTTACTAGACAATAAAGTAAAAAACTAAACCAAAATGGAAATATCAACTTCTGTTGTTCTATTAATAAATGTTTTAAAATTAAAACTCTTTATTTTGGCACAGATATGACAAACACATGCACTCATGAACAAATTTGGGTGTGTAAAATGCTAAATACATGTGTGGAGAATCTTTCAGTGTATATAAAGGGCATTCAAAATTTCTATACACTCTCCTATGGATCAGAATAACCTCTTCAAAAGACAATTAGGCAATAGTAATCAAAATCAGTTTTTTCCATTTCACCTAGCAATTCAGTTCTTGGAAATTATTCTATGGATAGTCTTACATATGTGCATTAAAACTATAAGAACAAGTATATTCAGAACATCATTTTTATAGCAGTAACATATTATAAATTAATTAGATGTTCATTAAAAGTTCTTATTAAGTTATAGCACATTGGGTCAGCCAGTGGCATGATGGTTAAGGCAACTAGATCCCACATGCCAACTGCATGATTCAAGTTTCAGACCCAAAATCAAAACAGAGAAAGGAGACAGGTATGATTAATATGTTAATAGTAATTTGCCTTTTTTTTTGAGAGAGAGGTTATTACTATAGGGCATATGCATTTGCCAGAAAGACAGAGACAAAGAGACAGAACGTGGGAAATCACTCCCCAGGGGATGGCCACGCTGCAATCCCTTCTCCTCCATTCTCCTCTCAGGATCTTAGGCACACACACACATGCACCCAGTGTGAGTTTAAGCAAGCAACCTGGTCTAGGACTTGAACCATGGTCGACTACGTGGGAGTCCAGTGACGTAGCCATTCCACCATCTGCTGGTCTCTAATTTGCTTTTATCTCTATGAAAAAGTATATAAATTCTTATCAACCCATAGGCTATCTCTAGAAGGATTTCCAAGAAACTAATAGTACTGGCTGCCTCTGGTGAAAAAAAAAGGGATTTGAGAAGGTAACACACAGAAGTATTGTTTATGTTTTTCATTTTATTTGACTTTTTAGCATATGTACAAAATATATCTTGCAATAAAATTAAAGTGCTATTCAAATTAAATTTAAGGTGATTATGCACTTTGTACATACCACTTTTGAAATTCTACTTGATAGACATCTTTTATTTCTTAAGAGAGCTTTTTCCTATAGGACATGTATGCTCATCAGAGAGACAGAGAGACAGAAAGTGAGAAATCACTTCCCAGGGGAGATGGCCATACTACAATTTCTTCTCCTCCATTCTCCACTCAGAATTTTGGGCACACACACACACACACACACACACACAGCCTAGAGTGAGATTTAAGCTACTGGATCTGGAATTGAACCACAGTCCTTCTGGTCCTGATAGCCATCCTTTTGTTATTGCCAGAGGACACATGTGCTTGAGAGAAAAAGAGATAGGAGAATTTTGGGCACACACGCACACACACAGCCTAGAGTGAGATTTAAGCTACTGGATCTGGAATTCAAACCACAGTCCTGCTGGTCCTGATAGACATCCTTTTGTTATTGCTAAAGGACACATGTGCTTGAGAGAAAAAGAGATAGCACCTGATCCCCCCAATGGAGCATGTAATGCTGCAATCCCTCTTTCTCCATTTCCCCATCCTTTCAGAATTTGAGACATACACACACACACACACACACACAAACACAATGTGTTAGTAAAACCCCTGGGTTAGGATTTGAACCACAGTCTACCATGTGGGATCTAGCTCTCTCCAATGCAGGACTTAACCTCTATGACACAGAGCAGGTTCCAGTGGAAGTAATCTTGGAAGTAAATTGGTCAGTAAATTATGGGATATAAAATACAAAAATATAAAGCAGCCATTACAATTAAGAAAACAAGGACCAGCAGATGGCATAATAGGTACATCGCTGGACTCTCACATGACTGACAACAGTTTTCGAGTCCTGGACCCGGAGGCTTTAAACTCATGTCGTACATGCCCAAAAACCCAAGAGGAGAGTGGAGGAGAAGGGAATGTGGTGTTGCCAAACCCCCTACAGGGTGATTTCTTGCTTTCTGTCTCTCTGTGAGCACATGCTCCCTGTAACAAATATCTTTCTTTAAAAAAAAAAAAAAACACAGAAAAATCAAAGTAAACCAAATATTAACACGTATTCAGAATAAGGTTACCATAGATATATTTAAACATGTTTATTAAATATACAGTTAGTAATAACAAACAATTGTTCCAACTTTTCTGTATTTGGGCTTTTTGTTGTTGTTGTTCCTCTCTGTACAATATTAACAGATGCCAAAAAAGAAGTAAAGTATCATTCATGAATAAAAGGAACTGGGTCACTGTTGAAGGGCTCCTCAAAGGACCTTCGGCTGAACTTTCAAACACAACTTCCATCGTATTTCAGTTTCACAGACAGACATTGAGACTGGAGCACGTGTGGCATGGAGACCTCCACCAGTGTTGCCAACAATTTCAGCCTCCAGATAACCCAGTTCATCCTGATGGGGCTCCCAGGCATTCACAGCTGGCAGCACTGGCTCTCCCTGCCCCTGGCTCTGCTCTACCTCTTAGCCCTTGGTGCCAACAGCCTCATCATGACCACCATCCACCGTGAGCCAACCCTGCACCAGCCCATGTACCAGTTCCTTGCTATCCTGGCAATAATAGACATTGGTCTGGCCACCACCATCATGCCCAAGATTCTGGCCATCTTCTGGTTTGATGACAAGGCCATACGCATCCCTGAGTGTTTGGTTCAGATGTATGCCATCCACTGTTTCTACAGCATGGAGTCAGGCATTTTCCTCTGCATGGCAATAGACCGATATGTAGCCATCTGTCACCCTCTTCAATATCCCTCCATTGTCACTAATGCTTTTGTCGTCAAAACCACAGGATTCATGGTACTGAGAAATGGTTTGTTAATGATCCCAGTGCCGGTACTGGCTTCCCAGAGACACTACTGCTCCAGGAATGAGATTGACCACTGCCTCTGCTCCAACTGGGGAGTTATCAGTCTGGCCTGTGATGACATCACTGTGAACAAATTTTACCAACTCTTCTTAGCATGGATCCTGATTGGGAGTGACATGGCTCTTGTATTTTCTTCCTATGCCCTAATCCTGCGTTCTGTGCTGAGGCTGAGCTCAGCAGAAGCCCTGTACAAGGCTCTGAGCACCTGCAAACCCCATGGTCTATGCGCTCAGAATGAACGAGCTCAGACTGGGCTTTCAGAGGCTGCTTGGGCTGAGAAAAGATATGTCCACCACATAACTCCAGCTTTAGGAGACCTTTAAAGTGATAGGAAAGGGCCAAAGTTTCAGCTCTCAATCACTCTGAATTGTGATCTGCATTTGCCACTAACCAGGGGAAAACCAACGAAAAACCATCAGCCTCACTCTTCAAAAATGCACATTAAAATTACACTGAAGTTTTCTATTACCTAGAAAATAAGTAAGAACACAAAATGGAAAGGCCTGACTACTGATGCCAGGTTGATAGGTAGTTTTTCACATCCGTAGGACTATTAACAATAGCCCCAAAATACCTAAATTTGTCAAAACATTTATACTTACTGAAACATTTATACTTATTGAAATTCTTTCTAAGGAATTCTATTTACAGAAATTACCCAAAAGATAATGATCTAAATGAAAGCAAAAAATTATTCATAAAAGAGATTACTTTACTGGGTTGTCAGGAAAGTCATGACACAGAAAAATACATCATGACAGTCCTGAAAACCTAGTATTACTAGTGATAACCTAGTATTACTTATAATAGAAAATACAGCCTTTCAAAATAAAGTCAACATGAATTTAACTTTTACATATTTATGTGTTTTATTCTCTTTTATAAGAGATATTTTTGCTACAGGGCACATACACTTGCCAGAGACAGAGAGACAGAAAATGAGAAATCACTCCATGGGGGACAGCTACACTGCAATCCCTTCTCCTCCATTCTCCTCTCAGGACTTTGGACAGGCTCACACAACACATCCAGCATGGGCTTCCAACAGCCAGGTCTAAGACTCAAACTAACAGTTATGTCATCTGCTGGTCTCTGTGTGCTTTCCAAAGACACTTGTGGGACACAGATAAGATTTATTATCTGTTGATGAGGATGTGTATAATAGTCTCAGCTGGGCTGGACTGAGGTGTCAATCATGCTGGGTAAAGTCTCTTAACAATCTAAAAAAGGTATAGCAATTTAATGTATTACTAATAATAATAATTTTTAAAAGGAAATGTTTTCATAACATAAAAAATGTGTTCTGAAAAAAGAAAAATTTCATTTGGGGAAAAAAACTGAATAAAAATTAAAGAAAGAAGAACTAGTGCTAAGTACCATTCACTTGTTTGTTTTTTAATAGGCATATAATTATTGAATATATTAATGTGGTACAATATGTTTTAATGTATGTATACATTGTATAAAATCAAAAAATAGTATTTACCATGCTTATCACCTTATATACTTATCATTTATTTGATGAGAACGTTCAAAATCTTTTCTTACTAAGGATTTCAAATGGTCCCAAAAGTTTTGTAAGATGTGGACAAATGGATGGATGGTTAGACAGATAGAAAGATCCGATAAAACCTTCACAAAAACTCTAGAAGCAGGTACAGAATTATTTTCAGATTACAGCTAAAGGAACAAGGTATTGGCCTTTATACACTGGGCCCTGACAGCAGTTTCTCAGCTGGGGCACTGGGGTTCAAGTCCTTGGAATTCACACTGAGTAACCACACCACTCTTCTCCCTCTTACTGATACTCTCTTCCAGAATTTCTGTGTGAACTTGGGCAACATGTGAAACCTTTCTATGGCTCAATATCTCTCGTTAAAATTTTAATAATGTTTTTGCTGGGCTAAGTCACAGGCATGCTCTGAACAATCAAGACATAATAAAGAAAACATGCTTTAAAATATGATATACACAAATAAATATTGACCTATGTGACAAAGTTTTTGATACTAGGAAAGAAAGACAAAGGGTCAGAGAAATGCCCTAAAAAAATAGTTTCACATAACCCATTAATTAAGTCTAAATCAATTTTTAGGGCTTACTCATCTAAACAAAATGCACACTTTTTGAATAAAAGATCCCAAACACATGTTCATCCAGTACCTTTAACATTAATACAGAACTCTACACACAATACGTGCTTAATAAGCGCTCTATTTATGATACAATGATTCATAGGAGATAACATGACCTGTTGAATACTGTGTGTCAATGAAAACTTCCTGGCACATGGATGACCCCAGGAAGTCTACATATGAGTACACCTTGCAGAATTTAGTCAAGAAGCATTACTGACTTGCTCCAAAAGGAGAGGACACTTCACCTTTCTGGGACAGTGGCCTCTGATTCAGATTGAAGTGATCATGCAATAAGGAGAGACAGGAGAAAGGAAGTCAAGAAAAGGGCTTCGGCAGGACCCTGTCTCCTACTGTTTCTACCCTGGAGCATCAGAGTCATAATATCTAACTCTGCGAGTCCTTTACACCTTGCAAAAACACTTTTCTACAAAATGAACCAACTTATTTTATGTAATATTCATAGTAGCCCTCTTAGGTAGGAAGCTGAAGGATTATACGTAATTTTTTTCTACAAAAAGCAAATAGAGACTTGGGTGGGTTGATTAGATAAGTCTGTCTAGTGATAACTCACAATACTGAGGCTCGGCAGTTTAGACAACACCACTCAATGGCTATAATGATCCATTTCTAAAGCTACTTCCAAACTTGTTCATCCATATAATTATTTTTCATTTATTACTTATTTAAAAATCCACAGCACGGGAACCAGCAGTTAGCGTAATGGCTATGTCGCTGGACTCCCACGTAGTCGACCGCGGTTCGTGTCCCGGACCCGGTGGCTTAAAACTCACGCCAGGCGCGTGTGCGTGCATGCCCAAGATCCCGAGAGGAGAATGGAGGAGAAGGGATTGCGGCGTGACCATCCCCCCTGGGGGGTGATTTCTCGCTTTCTGTCTCTATGTCTCTCTCTGTCTGTCTGGCGAGCGCACGCGCCCTATAGTGGAAAAAAAAAAACCCTCTCAAAAAAAAAAAAAAATCCACAGCAGGAGTCTATGTATAGCAGCCCAGATTGACAGCTTCTCTCAAACACCAGAGAAAGTGTCTCTCGATCCATTGAAAATATGTGACCTATGAAAATGGAGTCTTAGCAAAAATTTTGGCACAACAGAAAGAATGGCTGTGCACTCAGTTTCTGTGTAAAAATGATCCCACTTTGTTTTGTGTGTGTCATATTTTCCCACTTGTTTGCTTTATACAATTGTTACAGTCTTTTTTCTTTGCTTTGCTTTTTTTTTTTTTTTATTCCCAGGAGTGTGTGCAATCCCCAGGAAGAGAAATTGCACACAATTTGACATGGTCATGCTCATGTACATTTTCCTCTATTTCCCCATATTAAAGTATTTCGGCATGCACACACGCCTAGTGTGTTTTTCAAGCCACCAGATTTGAAACATGGTCAATCACATGCGATCCTAGTCTGTCCACAATGCATATCCCAATATAGTGTGATTGTTCAATATATGCGTACATATATAATAATGAAACCAGGGCAATAAACATATTACCTCTAATATTTATCATTACTTTGTGTTGTGAACATTCAAGTTCCTTTCTTTTAGTTATTTGGACTTCCACACTAAATTGTCATTCACTACATTGCTCTCTTGTGCCTTAGTGCCCCCAAACTCATTTCTCTTATTTAACTACACTTCTTTATCTGCTAACCAAGTTCTTCCTATCTTTCCCACTCCTTTCTCTTCCCAGATTCTGGTGAACCCCATTTTATTCTTCACTTCTATGCAACCAAATTTTGTTTCTTTCACAAGTGAGGGATAACATGCAGTATTTGTCTTTCATTGTCTAGCTTGTTATAAATAATATTAAAATAATAAAGAATAACCTATCCACAGGGGTAAAAAGAAATTAAGAACTATGTCTGAGAAAGATCAGGTAATAGGACTTACTAAGAAAATCTTGAAATTAAGTGCCTTAAATATACTCAATGAGATAAAGAAAACCTTGGACAAAGAAAGCGATCCAGGAGAACAGTGTCTCACCAATAGAGTTTTCAAGTTATATGTATAGCAAGCCTGATTTAAAATGGGCAAATACAGTGAACAGTTGTTTAATATGAGAAAAATAAATAATAATTATTTCTCAAAGAAAGGTTTGCCACATTGACTGACAATCATATGAAAAGATACCTAACAAGATCAGTCACCATGGAACATAAATGAAAACCGTAATGAAATACCATGTCATGTCTCTGGAATAACTATAATAGAAAAGATAATAAAAAATGGTAGTGATGTGGAGGGAAATATAAACTCTTGTACTCTGCTGGTGGGACTGCAAAGTGTGCAGTTGCTATGAAAAATAGTTTGATAGTCCCTCAAACATACAGTTACCATATGAGCTAGCAGCTATACTCCTAGGTATGTACCCCAAAGAAGTAAAAACATGTCAACACAAATATTGGTACAAGAAATCTCATAGTTGGGAACCAGCAGTTAGCGTAATGGCTATGTCGCTGAACTCCCATGTAGTCGACTGCGGTTCGCGTCCCGGACCCAGTGGCTTAAAACTCACGCCGGGCGCATGTGCGTGCGTGCCCACGATCCTGAGAGGAGAACGGAGGAGAAGGGATTACGGCATGACCATCCCCCCTGGGGGGTGATTTCTCGCTTTCTGTCTCTATGTCTCT